CCGAGCTGCCAGGGCAGCTTCCAGCTAGGACGCGCCGGGGATCTCCCCTAGTTTCTCCCGACGGCGGCGGCGTTGCCCGCCGGGAGCCTGGATGCCGCCTTGGCTGCGGTGCCGGCCCCACCGTGCAGCTGTGGCCGTGGCCCTTCCGAAAGCCTATCGGGGGGTCTCGAGGGCCTTATCTGCGAAGGTTTTGTGTCGCGTTCGAAAGTTGGGGATACTTGAGTGAGGGTAGCGGTTTCTGTGGGTGATGCTAAGGGTTAATTTGGTGGAGTAATCGAGCTATAAGATCCCCATCCCCATTTTGCAAAGAGCACTGTCTGCCGAGATGGAATGGAAACCACAAGAAAGGTATTACAAATAATAAAGTTGAGCAGAGTTGTAACTTGAAACTGTATCAGCCAGAAACCGGGGGGAGGGGGGGGATGATGATGATGATGTTAATTTTCTGATCTACAATCGAGTAGAACTCTGTTTTCTTTTTCTGAAATGACACAGATTTTGAAGCATGGATGGTAAAGCTTGGGGCTCCCTGCTTGGTCCCCAAAACGAACCCAGTACTTTATCCAAAATAGAAATAATAGGATCAAGTCTTTGTGGATTTGTGTTTTCATCTGATGCCTAATTATGTTTCCATTTATCTTCCTTGCCAGAAGAAGTTTACTTGTTTATTTACCCATTAATCACGTGTTAAAATAGATATACTAAAATCAGGCCATGCGTATGCCATTTAAATCTGGCTGAAAGATGAGAACATTTTCAGTCTTTACTGGCTTACAGGCACTCTCTGTATGTAAATGATGCCTACATAGCAAGAATGATGGGGAGAATGTCTCTGTCTGTATCAAAGAAAGAGTATGTAAATAATTAGTTACTAACAAAACTTCTGTTTGGATAAGTATTTGCAAGTGTCATATCAGTTTTTAAAAAGGCCATTTTCTAGCCACTTGATTATTTTCAATGTTTTTATTTTACTTGATTAAATTTGAGCTAGCTTTAAAGCCCTGCAGTATCTCAGATTTTTTTGTTCTGTGAACCTGTATACTGGATGGCGTTTGTGTACGTAAGCCCTCATTACTGTATCTATCCATGCAGGACTGAATGCTGTTTACTTCACACGTATTGATAATTCCACCAAAATTAGGATATAAGTCATAAGATTAGTATGAGCAGCAATTAATCCTGTGAGATTTTTACAGCCCTGATGATCTAAGTGGCAGCGTTACTACTTCAGAGCCCTATTTTTGGTTTTTTTCTCCCTTCTGCTTTCTGACAGTTTCTACAGCACTCAAGATTCAATCTTTCTTATACATCTTTTCTTTTACTGGCTTTCTTAGACTGACTGATGCTTCAAGTTCCAGTTTTCCATGGGTTCCTCAAACCTTGCAAGTGCAGCTGATCCTTCTTTTGCTCTGGTTTCACTTTCTCTGGAGAGACTTATCTGTGAGGCTGCTTTAGTTTTTTTTGATCAAACAATTCTGTCTTCTTCAGCCTAAGGTATATCAGTTTGAGCAGGTGTATCCAGGTGCCTCTTACAAATCCTCCTTTATGATCTATAGTCTCCTTATTTTCTGATCTGACAGAAAGATTTCACATTAGGTGAAGGTTTTGTGAACCAAAAAGGCAAGATTAATACTCCACTTAGTGCCTGGAAGTCTACTGTACTGTAAGACAACAAAAAAAACCCAACCCCAAAACCCCAACAAAAACCACAGGAGTGGAAGACCTGCCTGGATCATTGAAGTCTGACAGTGCTGCTGGCTGACAGTAATGAGTGGAGGCTGTGAGAGGGTCTGCAGGTGAAGTAATTTTTTGAATAGGCTGAGGCCTAAATTCACTGTGAATTTTTGGAGGCAAAGTAGTGGGATTGATAGGCATGCTGAATTGTTTAGCTTGTTATGGATATATATTTTTAGCACATGACTTTTGAAGAGAAATACGAAAGCAATAATTTTTGAATTTATATAACAGATTTACAGGAGTAAGTAAGAATGCTTATTGAGACAAATCCAAAGGTGGACTCTCTACACTAAAGTTTCTTCAAAACTTCTGATGACTTGAGGCAGCATGCTTAAACACTTGGGCAGTTAGATACATGTCTTTCCCTAACTTATATTTTCATAACCCTTCCTGTATGTCAAATGTTCTGACTGATGGAAATTTTTAGGAGGGCTAGTTTTGCTTGACTTATTAAATATCTTGTATTACACTAATATTTTATTGTTATTGTTGATAAATGGTGAATGTTATTTATTACACTATTGAGAAAGGATTCTTTCTTTGAAGTAACCTGGGCTGATATAACTCAAATTCTATGAAATACTTTTCCCTGAATTTTTTAGTTTACTTATAAATCTCACTTTGAGTGTCAAAACATGAGCTGGACAAAAGGCTGAAAAGTTACTTGGGATGAGTTGGCAGTCCTGGCCTTATCAGGCCTTGGGTCTTGTCTATTACTTACCCAGGGTTTAGGGGCCCTCCCCACACTTCCTGATTTCACCTACAAACCTGCCAATCTCACTGCAAATTTGTCCTGAGTTCTCCATTTCTATCTAGCAGCAGTCACAGCTGATGTCGCTCTCGCCGTCTTTTGTGGTTTTTTTTAAGGGAATGCCTCATTCTTCTTTAACTCTGTTGGGTAACGATCTAGTCAGCTTCTCAGGCTCTCCTGTCCTGGATAGTTGATATGTTATAGAAAACCTGAGGCAAACTGTGAAAGGCCAGCTGGATTGCACAGAGTTTAAATGTGGTGCTGGACTTCAGCTCAGAGATGTCTTCACAATGATACGGGATTTTAATTAAAAAGACTTGCTTGTCTTCATACAAAATCCATGCTGACAATTCTAAAGAGGGCTTGAGGTTTGTGGATTTCAGTTTCTTGCTGTTTGGAGGGCTGTGCATTTACTGCTTGACAGAAGAGAAAAAAGAAGTATAAACTACTGATGTAGAATTCTCTAGTGCATTTTCTCCATAATCTGCAAAGGGAGATTCAGTTGATTTGGCCAGTCAGTAGCAGGTCTTTCTGGGGAAGATTTTTCCCCATTTTTTCTGTCATCATAAATTAACTAAATATGGACAGAATCTCAAAGAGCAAAACAGATTTAAGCAATCAATTCTCCTATGAAAACTGCTGTTGGGAGACTGGATACATTGTCTGTCTTCCAAGTCTTATGTACCTTTTTGGCAAGGTATACTGAAATAACATACTGAAAAGTGAAGTGGACATCTTATATTGTGCATGGTATAATTATTAATTTGTCTTGAGAGGGAGTGAACAGAACAAACTGTATCTGCTTATTCTGTAGGTTTTTCAAGCTTATAAAGTTTGCTTATGTCTTTCAGTAATGGGTTTTGAATTGTTTGATGTCAGTGTTGTTGGTATGACTTTTAAGAAACATAGAGTTATTTCTGCTTCTCAAGTGTTATAGATCCAAGGTCTAAAGAACTTGCCACACTTGAGAATCCTAAGAGACTGGGCAGGAACGTTCTGTTTACAGTTGCTTCAGTTCTCTCTCTGCACAGGAGGTTTAAAATTGGGTTTGGATGTTAAAAGCCCTTTTGTCTCAGTCTGGCAAACTAAGTCTCTTCCTATTTGCCAGTGAATTTGCCCCACAGGTTCCTTTAGATTGTTTTTAATGTTGAACCTGGCTCTATTTAATGAAAATACGTAAGAAAACACAAGCTAAAGGTACTTACTTGACATAGCACTGTGTCAAAGCGTTAAATATGATGCTGTTTATCAAGGTCACTTTGGCAGGCTGAGTTTGTGCTCTGTTACTGAGTGTCATGGCATTAAAAATCAAATCCATCTGTGCTTTTTTGATGGATGTCCTGTGTTCTGTTTTGTATCCTGTTTCTGTGAAATTTCACCCTGTGACCCCAGTGGAAATTTATCCCAAATAGGGCAGTAAAGTCAGTCTGGGGAGAGCTTTCTCTTAACATATATAAATAACTAAACCACTTTCCTTTGTATCTTTCATTCAATTTCTTTCATTCTGTTACCCGTACTCTTGCCAGTCATAGTTTCTTGCTGCAAAAACACTATTTTGGCAAATAGACTGAAATCTCTTAATATGAGGCACTAGGAAGACCCTGTGTTTTAACATGACTGTAAGAGGTGGATATGTAATGGACAATTAAGAGGAAGAAAGTAATGTGGGGAAAAAGATTTTATTGTATTTTCACAGCTGTTCGTGTACCATCAAGTTTGTGTATTGTTTGTTTAGTCATCAAGCGTGATCTTAGCATATTATACAAATGCTAGTAAGATGCACGAAACCTAGAGTGCACATTTCTGTAATGAAAATGGCTCAGAAACATGCAAGTGGGTGTAAAATCTAGGTGTTAAATGTGGTTTGGTGTCTTGTGCATATTTGTGCAAATGGAGCATTAAGAATGCTTCAGCTCTGGTGTTGTATGGTGTTTCTGTAGCAGCAGTAACAAGTTCTGTTTGTTTTGTGTTTGTGTAAGTGGCTAAAGAAGACAGCTGTCAGTAAAACTGAGTTTTCTAAGATGAAATAACTTTCTCTGCTATAGAAATAAAATTTTGGAATAATGTCTTTAGTGGGTTATTCCATTTTATTCTGTAAATGAGAGCAGGGTTTGGTACATGGAGTATGAGATACTGCATTCGTAGTAATGTCAGTCTGCTACTTTTCTAGTTTTAAAAATATGCTTTCAATTGGTAAGAAGATCTTTAATTGTTCAAGTCAATAATCTAGAAGTTGTAGTGTCTGAGAAGTGCCTTTTTGCTTTATCCTAGTAAGAGTGTGGGTTGGGTATTTTTTTTTCCCCCTTCAAAAGGCAGCTATATAGCTCTGCTGTATTTGTAATTTCTGTATTACTGCCTGTCATGACACAGAACTTGGGTGGCTTTTGTAGAACGGCCATGGGGCATAGCCTTTCTAGGTTAGCTGGAAATGAGAATTCCCAATGTTGCCTCTGTGTGGAAAGTGGATTGTAAAGCAAACTCCCCTTCAGTCTTGCACAGCAGCTCTTTCCACAGGAGCACTGTAACCAGGATCATCAGATGCTGGCCCAGCCATTGCAACTTGCAATAAAGACAGAGGATGTAAATGAGGGAGAAACACCTGGTGAAAGAGAAAGTAAATATTGAAGTAAGTGTTCTCAGTTTAGACTTGCAATTGAGAAATATTGTTCAATTTGTTCTATAATTTCTGTACAAGCACAGATGCTTAACTTGCATTAACTTTCACTCAGTGAATCTACATTAACATTTTTACAAATGATTCGTATTTGATAATTGTTTAGCCAGAGTCACAACAGTTATGAATTATATATTTTTAACACTAGGAATTTTTTTTTGTCTTTCCTGCTGTCAGTATCATATTACTTTAAGTTCTGCTATTTTGTTTCAGCTAGCCAACATCAACATTTTCTGCTAGGAACTGATAGTTTCCAGGTAAGACAAATAAAAGTGATGACTGCTGTTTTATGGAAGTTGTTTTGGTTTTGAATACCACAGGTGACAACAGTATGAAGCTTGGAATGTATAAATATAGCCTACACTAGGTAAGAATGTAAAACATGAAGAATAAAAACATTTGGAATTCTTTATGAGCCCAATAGAAGCTGCCACATTTATGCCTCATTTTGTAGATAAGAGTGTTTTTACTGCATAGTCTCCTCTTAGATATGAGGTCACTTATATTTCATGGTCTTAATTTTTCTTGACTTTACCTTGTTTGAGTCAGGGAATGTGTTTGGGCACTTACTGTAAGAGAGCTGGTATACTGAAAATTCTGTCTGCACTTTTATTGTGGTTAGCTGGCTTGTGTTTGTAGTTAGTTATTGGTTAGGAAAACCACACATTGTTGAAAAGGTTATGTAAGATGTATATTTTTACCTGTAGGACAGAAGCTGTCAACTGATGAAACAATGATGGGTGAGACTTCATTTTAACATTTTATACCTGTATTATAGCCATTTATAATTTATCTATGATGATCTGGTATGCATATATTGTTTTTAAAATAAAAATACTGGAATTGTACATAATCTGATGTCATTGCATGAGTCTACTATCTTTCACTCAGAGAATGTGTATGTGTCACCCCGAGTTGCTGTGGATAAAAGTCTTCTTAGAAATGGCAGGATGTGTGAGTCTTAAAAAGCTCAAATGTATCTTCATTGTTCTTCAAGAGTTGCAAGGGAGCTTAAGTGACAGTGGGAGTTGGGAGAGTTGTCTGTGAGCAAAGTACATCCTTTGTTAGTAAAGTTTGCAGTCCTTTCAAAGTTTTCCTTGAGCAATGCCTGATGATACAAAAATTCTGCCCGGAGTGGAGAAAATAACATTTACAGGAACCTTTAAATCAGTTTCTGTGCCACCAAGATGCGATAGCCTAGAGATAAATTTCCCTATTAAAGCATAAAAAGCAAGAGGGATCAGAGGACCCAGCCTGTAAAGGTTGTGTGCAGAGCTCCTGAACTGCTTTATTATGTATTTGCAAGTGAAATGAGAAAGCAGTTTGATGTAACACTGTGAAAGCTTTACATTTTTATAAATTGGATTTTCTCTCTGACAAAAATGAAACGTCTGGTCACAATAGCTTCTTTGCAACTATGTACTGCAAAAAGCCAAGCTGTCCGCATGCTGAGGTTATTAAATGAATTTAGGCTGTCAAAATATACATGGAAATATATTTAGTACCTTGCACTAAAGTTGATCAGTAATTAATCTGATGGTAAATGAAGAAGACTGTACATACAGAAGGTAAAAGTCAGGATATGCTGAATATGTTTGAGGAAGGAATATCTTATAAAGTCCCAACTTTTGATAATGACTTCTTTTAAGCAGAAGACACAAAAGAAATATGAAGTAGTGGGAGTATTTGGTGAGGAAACACTTCCCCCTCCTTGCTCTTTGTTCATACTATTATGCTTTTCACAGAAGAAAATGTTCAGTACCATTGATATCTGTCACATCAGTGTTTTGAAGATAATGTGAAAGATTTACCAGCAGAAAATGTAGATAAGTAAAGTAAACCTGTGCTTACAGACTCACTGAATCTATGTATGGGTCCTAGAGGGGCACTGTAAGTAGTGACCCTCTATGTTCATGTAGTCTTTGGAAAGTTCAGCCTTAACTTTTATCATTCATAGTTTCAGCAAAGGAAACCTGGCATAAATTCTCCTTGGCAGCTCTGAATCTTAGTTGTTGCTTGAACTCCAGCAGTAAATTGAGATACTATGTCTCAGTATGGATTGTTTTGGTTCAGCATTCATAGCTGTTTTTGTTTGTTTGTTTTGACTGGTGTTAATGGAATGGCAAACTGTGGTAATCTTCCACAAAAGTAAAAGAATGCTAAGCACCAGTTTATCAAAAAAGGATTGTGGATGCCCATATTAATGTTAATAGCAGTTGTCCTACAATTTGCAGCTGAAGATTGATCTAAAGATGTGTGGGAACCTGACAGAGCAGATCTCTGACAAAAGTAGAATGTGAAAAGTCACTGACTGAGTCACAGGGTGAAAGGAATAGAGACACTGAAGCAAGATTAAATGATAGCTTATTTTAGACCTGTATAAAAGGTATTGCAGAAATAACCTGTCTGATCTGATGTCCAAAGATCTCACCTCCAATGATGATTATAAGGAAAATGAAATCCTTTGGTCCAGTATGGGCTGTGTTTTATAACCCATGGATGAACACTGAAGGAATTACTGATGCTGATCTGGGAAGCAAAGTGGTGAACCCCAGTTTAAGCAAAGCAAATAGTCTTCAGAGGTTCTGGGAACAAGTCACTTCTTACCTGAGCAGTGGAAACAAAAGAAAGTCCACCCATCTGGAGTTCTCTAGTTGTTTTTTCTAGAACCAAACCTTGGAGCCTTTGTCCAGCATTTATTGGCTACCATATTTATATAAATCTGATATTTCACAAGAAAACATGCTACAATTGTTTCCATGTTACTCTGAGAAGATACATTTATAACAATTATTTTAAACACCTAATTCAGCACTTGCTCTACTTGTTGAACAGCTTGTTAATGAGGTGTCCTAGAGTTATCTATGAATATTTATTAAGATTTATATCAAGAGTAAAATATAGAGAAATTGTACTCTTTTTCAAAAGAAAAATGATGATTACTCATTTTCAGTCTCTGAAATTACCTTAACAATCTATTTTGGTATGTTAAAATAATTATATGCTTATGAATTTTACCTGAAGCAGAGATCTGATGTTTATGGCTTCTCTTTTTTTTGGGGAAGGCTTTTTTTACCCTTTTAGAGAAAGAAAAGCTACCTTTATCCTCATGAACTGTTCCAGATGGGGTGTGGGGGGAGGGCCAAAACACTGTAAAACATAAACATAAAATATTTTCCCTATTTTAAATAAAATATGGATGAAGACCTAGCCTATGTCTGTGGGAATTTCTCTTGGCAGATGCTTCCTAAGTTCTGAAAAATGTCGGCTTTGAGAATCTGTTTTTGTGTTCTGGAAGAGCAATGTCTCCCACTAAAGTTTGAAGGTTAAGGTAGAAATATTTCTTTGGAAATTGATCTATGAAATGCAGGAAGATCTATTTTAAAACAATTTTAAAAGACAATACTAGCCTGTCAGTTTTGACCCTAGTTTTTCATTTCTGTATTTGGAACAGTGATGCAGCTTTACACCCAGATGGTTTGTTAGTTCTGCTGTAGTAAATAATTCAAAGGAGCCTTTGTTATGTAGTCAGCAATGTCACACATCTCTCACCTCCCCTAAGTGATGGGAGCAGGTTCTGACCCCATTTGCAGTGCTGTAGGTTTGCTGCAGCTCAAGGAAGCACTTTGGAAGATTTTGAGTTTTATTTCTTAAAAATAAATAAAATCTTAACTTAAAAATGAAATATTAAAACTTAGCAGTAATTTAGCCTCTCATATGTTGATTCTGGAAATGCACAGAAGGGGCAAAACAGTAAGGGAAACGAAGGTGTGCTGGTATTTTGGTAGGAAGTGTAGGCCTCATCTTGAAAACACTCATTGGGCTGAGGGTCAGACTTGAACAGGCAAGGTAAGATGTGCCTCTATTGAATGGCAATGAAGAACTGGAGGGCAGCTAGTGTCTGCAGAACAGGGCACCTCTGGGAAGCCATAGGAACATCGGGGCTAAGAGAAGTTTGCCTACCAGCTGGGAAAAGAGGGACTATGTCATAACCAGTCTCAGTGCTGCAGCTTTCCTGAATCTTTAACAATGAAGATAAGTCTTTGTGTGCTAGGTTACTTTCCATCTTACCTGAAAGTTTGTTTTGTTCCTGTTTGTGTTTAGAGAATTTCTGTGTCTATGAGGAGATAAGCTGGCTGCCTCTTTAGACTACAGTATATTCTATTCTTACATACTGTTGAGAAATCTGGGTTTTGTTTTTTAATGAAAGGTGCATATAGTTGTTTTTTTGGAGCTCAATGAGAAGTGTCAAAGTTTGTTAGTGTCAAAAACTTGTGAAGTCTCTGTCATACTATAGCCAACTCACCCACTTGTCAGCAATACTGGATTTTCCTTTTTCTTCATGGATGGTTATCTTTCAGCTTGTTCTATTTCTGTCCAAATAGTGTTGCTCCTATTCTAGCCCAGTGAAGGATATTCATAGCTTTCAGACCTAGTTCTCATCACAGCCAGACCACTAACAGAATCAGACAGTGTTGAGGTGGGAGGTGCATGGAACTTGCCGTGCTCTTCTCAGTAGAATTTTCTGCATCTGACAGGTGATGCAACCAAACAAATAAACAAAATTCAGATCCTGTAAGGACTCTAGGCAGCAGGTGCTTGTACAGGTCATGCATGGACTGCAGTGGCGCAGGTAACTGAAAAAGAAAACAAAACAATTTGTACTATTTTAAGAATAGACACTGCCTTAAACCATCAACTCAAAAGTTGTCCTATGTGAAGGGACCGTGTAAGTAAGTTCATAAGATTGAACAGAGGAAGACAGATGATTCTTCTTGTCTGCTGTGCCACACTGAAAAAAAATAAATAAAAAAAGCCTTAAAAGAATTACCAGGCAATGAGGAGATAATTAAACCATCAAGAACAGAGAATTTCATGGCCATTGTGGGTAAACAAGTCTGTCTGCTCCAGGCAAGGAACCAACTTAATTAAAAGCAGTGACAAAAAAAAAAGCGCCAACCCCCAAATTCTAATTTAGTTAACCCATTTACCAAAGAAAAATATTGAAAATCTGTTCGTTTTTCTACAGAAACTAACACTTTGTCTATAAATGCAACATTTTAGAAACTTTCTAAACTTTCTCTGGCTTTGCTTTAAGAATGTACAAACAGCATGGGGTTCAAAATTTGTGAGTTTAAAATATATTTTTTGCTGGTTTTTCACTTCTAAGTAAGGGGGAAAATGAGATGTGTAGCAGGAATTGCATTTTTTTTCAGTTTATTGGAATATCCTTAGGGCAGAGAGAAGGACACAGAGGAAGACAACCACACTCTGGCTGCATCCATTGCACAGTGGGCAGGAGGTCAAAGGAAGGGATTCTGCTGCTCTGCTCTGGTGAGACTCTGCCTGCAGTGCTGCATCAGCTCTGGGGTCTCAGCATAAGAAGGATGTGAACCTGCTGGAACAAGTCCAGTGGAGGCCACAAAGATGGTCAGAGGGCTGGAGCACCTCTCCTATGAAGACAGGCTGAGAAAGGTGGGGTTGTTCAAACTGGAGAAGGCTACCAGAGAGACCTTTGCAGCAACCTGAAGGTGGTGCAAGAGAGCTGGAGAGGGACCCTTGGGGCATGGAGTAGCAGGACAAGGAGGAGTGAGTTAACACTGACAGTGGGCAGGTGTAGATTAGACATTAGGAAAAAAATCCTTATGGTGAGGATGGTGAGATGCTGGAATAGGTTGCCCAGAAAATCTGTGGATGCTCCATCCCTGCAGGTTTTCAAGGCCAGATTGCATGGTACTTTGAGCCACTCCAAGCTACTTCTAAAGGAAGGTATTCCTGTACATGGCAGGGAGGTTGGAAGGAGATGATCTTTGAGGTCATTTCTAACCCAAACCTTTCTGTGATTCTGTGATCATTGTATGCAATGAAGTGAACTCTGTTTGCACAGGTTTTGCAGCCTATGGTAGTGTGGATGCTCTCCTGGTTTGCAAGCTTTGCCTTGTCTGTAATCGAGCCATAGTGGCTGCAGCATTACCAGCTTAACATCTCATTAGCACATGGGAAGCATAGGAAAATAGAAATTTCTGGGTTAGATTGCCCAGGGAAGCACTTAATGGCTCAAGTAAAGATAGGTGTTTGTGTGACTGTGTTGTACCTTGAGCTGTCAAATCTAAAACTTTAAAATCAATGTCAACCTATAGATTCAGAATTAATCAATATAATACTTTCCACCTTCAGTTTTCAGGAACATTTTTATTTGTACTTGGTATGCTAAATTGTTACAGAATATGGTATTTGAGAATATCATCATTACTTCATAAATTACTGCCATTCTTACTGGCCTATGTACATGCATCAGTCATATTACTGAAGTTGAAGGGGAAAAGCCTAGAACTGAGTGCTCTTGTGCAAATGAACCTATATAAAATTGTGCCAAAATGGTAGCAAGGGAGAAAACAGGTGGTGGCCAGAGGTACCTGTCAAACCAAAAGGCAGAAATAAGTATTCTTATAGAAGCTTCTGCTGCTGTGCTTATAAAGAGAGAACATTTTTCCTGTTGTGTACAGTTGAACTACCTTATGCCTCTCTGTGATGATTTGGCATTTATGAAAAAAAAAATAGAAAACATCCACGGAAGTGACTCCTCTGAGAGAGCTGCTGGGAATTTCTTCTCTGCTTGAGACCCGGCCAATAGGTGACCATTTCTGAGAACTGACAGCATTTTTCACCACTGAAAAGTAAAATCACCTTTGTGAATACCACCTTTTAAACCTAAGCCCGGGAGCTTCTGGCTCTCTTGGTTTCCGGCCTGGAAAGGTATTGGAGCTGTAGTGTGGCTGGCCCCTTTCCCCACGGCCTGTGAGGCCCAGCAAGGGCTGGGCTCGTCCTGCCGTGGCTCCCGGGCGGGGAGTGGAGACTGTGGGGATTCCTCCGGCCCCAGAACAGGGCCTGGCTCTGCTGTGGGGCCCGGGAAGCCTTCCGGGTCTGATTCCAGCGGGGTGGCTGAAGCTTTGCCCGGGGGGGCCCTGGACAGCTGTTGACACTTGCCAGTCCCCACCATGGCCAGCACAGATGGCTCTAAGCTGAGAACTGGTTGCTGCTTGTCTTCGGCTGCTGGGCTGAGAGAGAGACGCCTGAAATCTGACACCATGAATACCTGCTGTAGCTTGGGCCAGATTTTAACCTTTTCACTACACAGATGAGACCTGAAAACTTAATTCCCTTTCCAGAGAGAGGAAAGTGGGAGCAATCAACATGTAAAGAGACAACATGAAACATCAACGTCAGTAAGAGGAAGGAAGTCAAGCCTCAGATGGAAGGAGAATGAGGAGATATTTTAATAAGCTGAAATATTCTTTTGGTAAGGCCATGGAGATGGACAATAATATTCTGAATAACTCCTTTAATTAATGAAAAGAGTATTAGGGGAGAATGAACTATTCAAACTGTGAATCTGAGCAAAGGTGTCCATTGATGAGCTAAGCAAATGGTGGAGTAGCTGTGATCCCATGAGATGCTGGAACAGAGACAGAGAAGTGAGAGTTGATGAAGACCCTTGGCCTCCAGGGAGAAAAGGAGAAAACCTCTGTTCCCAGAGATTATCTATCATAGAAACAGATTGAAGAGAACCTTTGCCTTTAAATAACTCATCTTTAAAATAATACCCCTTAAGTTCATGGCCCATGAATACACCTCTGAGTAGTGTGAAACTGGGAGGAGAATGTGATGACAGAGTTTTTCCTGGGCGGCTGCCAATCATGGGAATGAAAAGCCACAAGAAAATAGTTTTTTGTGGACAACTCTCCATGGAATGACAAGGGAGAACTCCTCTCTCTACCAAGACTGATGAAAAGACTATTGTATAGTTGGTACTGCTTTAACATCTCAAGTTTTGTGTCTATGTTGTCAGCTGGGCAAGGAAAAAGGTTGAGTGGTAGGGAGGAAGGGTTTCTGGAGGTTTTATTATGGTTTCTTATTCTTGTAGTTCTATTAATAAACTTTATTCCTTTTAAGTTTTAAGTCTGTTTTGCTCTTCTCCTAATCCATATCTCACAGCAAGAAATGAGTAAGTATTCTAGTGATTTTTAGCTAGTGCTAAAACCACACCACTCTCGGACATTAGTTTGGAAATGTTTTGAGTTAGAGTATCAGCTTCTAGCTCAGTGAGACAGTGATTACTGATAATAGCAACTGAATTCAAATTCATATTATTATAGGGCATAGTTCTCTAAGAGTTTTTTGCAAGTAATTTTCCAATCTTACTTTTAGTTGTGGATTTAATATTTAACATGTGAGGATTCTTAATGTTAAGAGTAACATTAAGGAAAATGAATATTTAATTCAATGTCGTAAGAAATAGCTTACAGTCATTTTTGCAGATGAAATAGCTAAGATACCTCTCATAGTTACTTTGGAATTTTGGTGCTTCTTAATCACTCTTTGCTTAAGGGATAAGGCATAAAATATTCCTTTGTATGTGACTGCCAGAAGTTAGATTACATTGGAACTAAATAAACACTGAGTTGGAAAGAATTTAGATTAACATCCATATTTTTAGATTTTGAAATTACCTTAATCTGGAAAAACAAAGCTTGAAAGTTGTCATCTCTGTCAGCATTACGTTAAGCTCTGCATTGGCACAGTTCTGTGCTGCTCTGAGCTGGAACTTGGTGTTTTGCAGCTCTATTTTTCATTCATGAAAGTAGGACATAGTGGAAGAGCTGTCTCCTTGTATGTGTGCTCTGAATTTCACTGCAGGGCAGTTCGCTGGTCAGAGTTGGTGACTTCACCAGAACAGAAGGTTCAGATCAGATCAAGAAATTAACCTCAGTTAAGGTCTTTGGTATTAAATCTGCATTATAATTAAAACCAGAACACGTTGGTGGTTTTATTAAAAGTCTTGCTTTAAGTTATGGTTTGATTTTGAATTATTTCTTTGAAGAATTTTTGGCAAGATTTCTTCTGGTTCCCCTGTGCCTCTGTCCCTGGTGCAGAGACACTTTTTGTGTGCTAGTAACTGCTCACCAGCCCAGTTTCCTATTCTTCAGTTTAGTTGTAGTACACTATTATTAGGAATTACTTAATAATCTGGTTAGAACTATGTATTGCCATATACTGAAATATTTCTTCCTCTTCATTCTTGTAGTGGAACTGACCACACTCTTTTCTTCTCTGTAGTTCTTCAGGTGGGGTTTTTTTCTGCTTGTTTGGTTTTTTAGTTTAGTTTTGTTTTTTAATAGTGGGATAGATAAAACTATTTAAGAGTATTTTAAGGACTGTCTGCCTCAAACGTGGTAAGATGATGGAAAATTGGGAAAGATTTGGGAACAGGATGGTTTTGCTAGAGAATGCTAATGTTGGAAATAGTGGAAGTTAGTTTTGTAGGAAGAAAGACTAGGTAGTTCCTGTAATGACAGCCAGGGATAATTGAAGTAGGAGGTAGGTATGAGGGATTAGGATGAGAATATTTTATACGGATTAGAAGGTGGGTCACTGGAGATAAAGTGACAGTCTCTTGGTTAATTTTGCAGCCTACATGGATTTCTTCCTCAGTTTTTCAGGCTTTTCTGTTAACAAATTCTATTAATTCAGCAGTGAGGAAAAGAAAATGGAAGTGTGAACTGTAGTTGTTTTACACTGAGGAAAGAAAATAAAAAGTACCAAAGTTAATCTAAATGTTTCATTGTATGTCTGTGTAGTGAGAGGAGGGCAGCTGCAAGCACATCGACTGCACAAACCGTTGGGCAATCTGAGAAAATCTTAGACCAGAAAAATGAGAAAAGACAGAGATGCGGGGAGATTGATGCTAGTTCTGTATTTCCCCTAGTTTCTGCCTTTGTTTTCCTTTATAAAATTTAAGTGTAGCTTATTCAGGGTATGACAGAAAGCTGTTGACTTTTTGTTTGTTTTTTAAAGAAAAGCACAAACAAAACCTCATCAACTGAATCTCAAAAGTAGTCCTTTGTTTTCCAATAACATTCCTGTGCCTGTGTAGAAATAAATTTCAAAAAGAAAGTAAAACATTTTGAAATTATGATATAGTTTATCAATAAAATGCAATTTATTTTGGGTAACCTGCAGATTAGTTGCATGGCTATCAAAAATCTTGTGCAAGTCATAGTTTAAAAATTAATTTAAAAAATCCAGTCACTCTTTTCCATGTGATTGTAATTTCTCAGTCTAACACAGGAATAAATAATCTTAATTAAGCAATGTGACAGGAAAAGACAGGCAGAAGAGCATGCAAAACCTGCTAGGTAGTATTAAGTTCCACCACATGAAAGAGAAGAATGATGAATGTTCTGTAATCAGTTGGTCCTGGACTACAGTGTTTGTTCTGCTGGATGACTTGTCATCCAATAAAGTTTCCTGAATGCTGTCACTGAAACACTTAACTTAGTAACAACAGCAAAAGTCATGCTGCTCCCAAGTGCAGTGCTGAGCTGGAGTCTGTGTCCATCTGCCAGCAGTCACTGCTGGGCTGGTGTTTTTCACCCCTCCAAGCACAGCTCAGCAGACCCAACCAAGGAAAGGGACAGAATTGGTACTATGGGATTGAGTCCTCTGATGACATAAAAAGAAGCAAATTATACTTTTCTAACCAATGATCTAGGAGTCAGAACTTACTGTTGTATTTCTTTAACCACTTTTATTTAGCTTTCTTCCTGTAGTTTAATATGCAAATTTCTAGACAAATGTATTCATTGTTTTCTCAGCATCCATGGAAATGTAATAAAATGGCAGAGAATGCAGCTGTGCACATTTAATAACTGTGAAATCTGACCTCAAGCTAGGCCTCCTTGTGTTTCCTTTCCTATGGATAAGGGATTTGATGGAAGTATTTTGGTATGATAGCATTTCAAAATTTTGACATATATTTAAATAGATACAGACTGCATGCTTAAATCTGTACTTAGCCTTTCACTTAACCTGAAGACTTCTAAATGGAAACAAAACAAATGAACCAAGCATTTTTTAAAATCATCTTGAGTGATGCCTGCCATGTGAGGAAAACAGCAAAGCAGCTGCCATACAGTATCAGACCTAAAAAGAGACAACCTCAGCTCTGGTCAGGTACAGCAAACAGTTGTAGTAAAATGTGGCTATTGCTAAGCAGATATAAGGAGGTAAACTATCCTTTTCTTCTTTTTTCGTATTTTAAATGCTCGCAGTAGAGTAAATAGCATAAATGTTACTGATATGTCTTAAGATGTATGAAATGTCCTAGAACAATGTCATTGGTCTCTGGTAGATGGCAGCTGGTGACACAGCTGTCTTCTGTGATAAATTGACCTGGCACTGCTGCAGCCAGGCCAGGCTACTGTGAAACTTGAGATATGTTTTGTCTGCAGGGCTCTTTTTCTTCTCATTAAATAGATGTCCCACCCTGATCATCCTCTCTGGAGTGTAAGACCAGAAGTACACTACTGGATTTTGGGACAGTGGAAAATGAAGCTGTTAAGTTTCTCCCTTCAGGCTCAATTGACATTGTTCTAATTCATGTCAGTTTTGAGCTGATGCCTCAATCTCTGTGCATTTCAGATTAGTCCAGCCATAAGGTGCTTTGGGTAAACTGCTTCTCTCATGCTCAGATTGGCTTCCAGCACCTCTCTCCCTGGAGTAGGACCATTGATGGACTGTTGATGAGATGAGAATTTAAATTACTACCAGACACATTATTACCAGACACTTTTAAGGATTAGCCCAGAATAGATAAGTGAAATATTTAATTTTGGTACTACTTCCCTCCTTCTCCCTTCTGTTTGAAATTTCACAGTTCCAAACACAGTGCAACCAGATACTTGAACTATACACTGGTATGCACCAGTTTTTCTGTTCCTGGATTTTTTTCTTTATCTTTACTATGTTTGGGGTAGAATGGAGCAGCCATTTAACAGAACTGCATAGCCACCATTAAGGACAAAGAGAAGAACAGTATCTATCTGAAACTGCACAGGAAATTCTAGATATGTATCTGTGAGTTAGGTTTTGTCCAGGATGCCATAATTAATGCCCTTAGTGAAAGGCAAGTCTCCATTGCT